GTACCTCAACCTTTGAGTCTGAGGCTGTGTACCAACTGTTGGGTGGGGCTAGCATGATATGGGGGCCGGAGAGTTTTTGTATTATTTTGGGATCTTGGTGTGTGCAGAGCTCCTTAGTCATATTGATGCTTGAATGCTTCTCAGTCTCATTGCGGGAAAACTACTACGCAATGAAGACCCTTCTTCACATGGCAGGATTCTTGGTTACCATAACCAACGGCGGATTTGCATTTCGCATCCAGCGTTGCTGCTACTCATCAGTTCGAGCATCCCGCATCTCCAGACCTCACAAGCGGGTTTGTGTTTCTTGAGATTTGAGGGCTCTTGGTCGAGATCCTCGAATCAAGCATTCCTTCCATGTCGGCCGAAGCCTCCAGGCAGCCGCTGGTTGCCACGGTGGGAGTTTGCAGATGATGATGGAATCATGTGGAATCGTGGCCCCGTTCGTGCCTTGGAGGATATTCGGGGTTCAGCTTCGGCACGAATCAAAGTTTCGGTACTTGCAACTGCCGATCAGTGCTTTGAAGGGGAGAGAGCAGGCCCAAGCAGCATTCTGCGCTCCAAAGTGCCAAGAGCCCATTGCTTTGTGCAATGCTTGTCTAGCATTGCTCCGATGTCGAGCTTTCAGATGTCGGACGACTTTCCTTCTTAAAGGGTTCCTATGTTCTTTTGGTTGAGTTTCGCTTCGGGGTGGAGCACCAGTTCGAAGCCTCCGCCGTCACCGAAAAGCCCAGGTTTTCCTGGATCGCACGAGCTGTTGTCAGCAACTTTTTGAAGACATTGGTGTAGCGTCGTGGCTGGCCTTGGCTGTTGAGTTGTCATGTTTCGTCATCGTCTAAACGTTTTCCATGTGTCGTTGCCCTCCGCTGAATGTGATTTATGCAGACCTGGACGACTGCGTCCGTTTCCGCACCAGCCAGGACGTGATTGTTCCTAGTTGATATCGTGCCGATGGTGTTCAGCGGCACAGGCAACGCAAGCCGATGCTTGAGAAAAGCTTCGAGTTTTGCATGCTCTGCAAGTCATCGGAGCTCTTGACAGCAGAGATGGATTCCCGCCCCGTTTTGACATTGACTTGCCCGTGCAGGCAAGCACATCGTTTCGAACTTGCCAAATTCGCTTGCACCCGACGTCGTGGCAATTCGGCTTGGCTCCCGTTGCAGTGGAGGATCACTCGAGCTGCCAAGAAAAGACGCAATGGAACCTGGACTGTGAGTTAAAAAGATTCAGCGGAGATCTTGACCAAGACATCGAAGACGCGTACCGTGCCACGCAAGTTTCAGCAGGCCTCCCTTTAAAGGTTGGGTTCATTGGTGGGCCCAAGCGGCTCCGTTTGCAGAAGCTTCGCGAGCAGTCTTGCGACCAGTTGGAGAGCTGGTGACTTCTTGGAATTTGACTCCGCCAGAGGCAGGCTCACAGCAAGCTTAGAGGCTTAGAGAGAATGCAAATGTTCTATATTATATTCTTCTCCTTGGTGACTTCTGTTGTCCCCTTCGAAACGTGGACTCCATCTAGCTCACCTTGCTACGCGGCAGAGCCACTTCCGTCCATGTACTCAAAAGCAAGGCACCTAATGAGGGTTTCTTTGGCTGCAGCTACTGCTCGCATTTGCCTTCGCAGACGTGGACAAGAGTGGTGACTGGAAGTACTTCCGGCGACCGGAAGATGCTGTGGACACCCCGAGGGCTGAAACCGCGATGTCAGCTGACGAGGAGGCTTTTCCGCAACGAGAGCTGCTTGGCTGTCTTCGTAGCAGAGTCCTATCCTTCTGTTGTCATGTGAACGGCGTGGCCGCCGTTTCGATTCAATAATCCACCTGACAGGCAACAGGTTGGCCTCATCGGCAGGCTTGTGCATGTGCTAGCCAGGTAGTTCAGCCGTCGTGATGTCTTATCTGCCCGCGCCTGCCAACCCTGCATCCCTGAAGTGCCTGAGGCTGCAAGCCTTCCGCCGCAAGGAGGAGCCCACTGACGCGAGAGGAAAAGTTCGGATATGGCCCTTGTGACAGTAGCCCTTTATGTCGTTGAGTTCGGTTACAGCACTTTCACAAGGGTTGCACGTCGGTCATGTCTGAATCTGGTGACATTCTGGCCTTTTGACGGCGTCGGCTTCCGCGAAGCCGCCCGGTGAATCGCTGCAGCGTCTGTCAGCTCAAGAGTAGTTCGACAAAGAAGTTCCGAAGATGGAGCACCCCAACAAGGTTCAGAACATGAGCTTGCCGCTCAAGGCTCCAACCCAAAGTCCCCATGCCCCTCCCCATCCTCCATCCAAAACCGGAAACCTTAAACTCTCAAGCCCGGTGCAGACTTTGCGGTCGCTCCGGAGCCACCTTCCGGCTGCCCCAGAAGCTGGAAAAAAGGCTCATCAGCCCACAGCAAGCACCTCTAAACCCTAACCCTCAATCAGAAAGGGGTGCGGTTGTTCAAACCTCGAAGAAGGTGCTCGGGGCCTTCCCTGGAAGCGGCCGGGGAAGCTGGTCGTAAAGCCCAAAAGATCCCTAAACCCTTAGCCCAAAACCTAAGGAGTTCTTCAGAAACTCGGAGGCAGCGCCAAGAGCTGTTAGCCTCACAGTCGATGGACACCACTGCAGCGCCCTCGGCGGATGACAGCGATGCAGAAGCAGCTCTTTGGCTCAGAGCTCCCCGGGCCGTTGGGTGGCTGTTGAACGGAGGTTTCCGACATCATACGTACGCATGTGCATACGTACACACACACACAGACACACAAGCCAGCATTCATACCCTAAAGCATGCGTACATGCATCGATAGGCGAGCATACAGACACTGAGTATATGCAGACATGCATATACCGTCATATACCTACCGCTGGAGGACGTGAGAGTTGAGAAGTGGACAAGAAGAACTTCGGATCAACTCTGTTCACCAAGAGCCGACCACCCCTCCCACCACCCACCCCCCAAAGTCGCGAGACGAGGCTCAGTTCAAGCTGCTTCTCACGGTGCTCAGCATTCTCGTCCTGACTTTCCTCTCCCAGACCTTCACAGGCTCGGCAGACTTCGGGCTTTAAGACCTCAAGGTTGTTACTGCTACTGCTGCTGCCCTACTGCTACTACTAGTACTAGTACTCGTAGTAGTAGTAGTAGTAGTAGTAGTACTACTACTACTACTACGACTACTACTACTGCCACTGCTGCTGCCTCTGCTGCTGCTGCTTCTACCAGTACTACGACGGTTCTTGGTTCGGAGTGAGAGTGGCGGAGTGTTGCATAGGCTCTGGGCTCAGAGTGACCAGTCGGGAAACCCAATTGGCCAGTGGCACCCTCCTCATCCTGGCTGCGCTGGTGCTTCGTATTTCTGTATGTCTGCTAAGTCGAATATTTAGGAGTGTGATTCAACAAGGTTATTGTCGTTCGCAACTGTGGCAGAAATATTTCAACCCAGTACCCCATTCCTAGCGACTATCCTCACCACGTTCCTGTGCAGCAATGCCAGGTCTCAACATCGGGCTCATGTCGCTGGACACGGCACAGTTACAGGTCGCTTGGCCGCAGACGATTTCGTAGTGTCACCACCTCCGCAATGCGTTCTGATTCTCCCGTGGCCGTGCATGAGGCTCTATTCTGTTGCACCAGGAGATGTTCGGTTTTCAGTCTTACGTGCTTGACAGCAGTACAGTCTGCGACCAGCTGGGCTGTACAGAGTTCGTGGTCGCGGCACAGATGCAGTGAGTGATTCTGGAACCCGGAACCCAGGTTCTCATAGACGTGCCCAACAAAGATGAGACTGCCATGGACTCTGCCAGATATGCGCGACTCCCGGCACTTAACTTGGTTTTCCGTCGGAGGCTATTTTCTTCGTGTCATTCGCCGTGCATCCCGCTGCTCCTCATGCATCGCTGACCAAGGGGACTAGCAGGTCAGTATCCAAAAGCCGTGGCACGTGGCTGCGGAAACTGTGATGTGACCTATGCTTGCAGCGGCGTTTGCAACAAAGGACTGGTGGAAGTTGCGACATGCAAACCATAAGTGCGATAGTCAAGTAGCTGTACCAGATGGTGCGACGTCATGCAGAAGCAGAAGACATGCAGAACTAACTACAATACTGCAAACAAAGATCCCAGAGCAATGCAGGGGTCCATGACCAAAGACCCGGCCTCCGTATCCACCGACCAAGGAAAGATCCTGCCACTGCGCCGGAAGGGGCCTCTCGGCCAGCAACACAGAAGTGCGATGATAGTATATATCCATCTATCTGATGTACCTATCTATCTGTCTATCTATAGGCAGTTAGTAGGATTCTATATGACATAGTCTCACATTAGTATGTGTCATCGCTGCTGCAAGGTTCGAGAAGGCATTGCAATCTGTACCGAGAGTTCCAGTAGTCTTCGGATTCCCAAACCTTCAACCCGAAGCCCCTAACCTTAAGCCTAGCCTCCAGCAGCCAAGGAATCTACTGCTTTGCACCATTCTCCTCGGCAACACCGCAGTCAACGCCTTGATGGCACAGCTGCATCCTGACACGATAGAGGGGAAGAATGTTGTATTCACCATGCTATGCTATATTGTACTGTACTATACTATACTCTACTATGCTATGCTGCGCTAGGCTATGCTAGGCCATGCTATTCTTTTTTTATACGAGGCGAACACAAATACGAATACGGAAACGAATACGAATACTGAGACTCGTACTAAACGTACTTTTGATACTTCTACCCAATACCGATACCAATGCCAATGCCAGTACTAAAAATACTAACAATGCTAATATTACTAATGGTACTAATACTGATATTACTACCAACATAAATACTAATACTCAAACACCACGAAGACTAGTAGACATACTCGTATGAATATTGATGCTTCTATTCAGATTCAATACTAATACTATCACTGATTCTGATACTGGTATTAATGCTGGTACTAATACTAGTAACTAGTGCATTCATGCCCAGATAATGATCTCAGATAATGCATACTAATATTCACGTTAATATTAACAGTAGTACGTATTTTACTACCAGTGCTAATTCTCATATTAATGCTAATACTGCTATTGACATTTATACTAATGCTAATATTTGTATCAGTACTGCTATTTAGTATTCATACGAATAGCAATGCTAATGCTAATGTTGACTGGTACTAATACTAAAGCCAAGGCTATAAGACAGACTGAGACTAGTACTAATTTTAATACCCATACTAGTACCAATACGAATACTACTATTCAAACTGATATTAATACCAATACTAATACTAATACGAATACGAATACTGATGCTCTAGTACTAAACCTTGTACTATATATTAATTTCCCAACTATACTATACTATGTCATACTAGACTAGACTAGACTAGACTAGACTAGACTGTACTGTACTGTACCGTACCATGCCATACCAGACCATACTACATAAAAATATGCAATACTACACCATGCTACACTTCACTAGACTGGACTAGACGATACTATACTGTACTGTACTGTACCTTTTTACCATAATATAGCATACCATATCCCTATATTATACTGCATTCTGCCACTCTACACGGTACTATGCTGTCTATATCACTACCATACTCAAGCTATACGAATACTAATACCAGTACCATGACCAACACCAACACTAATCCCAATGCTAACGCTATTGCTGATGCGAGTACGAATATGAATACGAAATACTAGTGCTAAGGCTATACTAGACAAGACCATGCCATACATGTACAAAACGTCGTCTTCAGCAGGAACCCCTCAGCAAACACGATGTGGTCCCAGCTTCGATAGCAGTCTCATGAGGAAGAGGTCTGTCCTTTCCGTTCCTTCGACCAGCCTGTATACCAGTATGAGTATCTAGTATTAGTATAAGTTGTTGTAGTAGTTCCGTAGGCCAGAGAAGGTCACAATGCAAGGCCCTGAGAAGCCAAGGTTGGCAGACTATGCAGGCCCATGGATTCTCTGCGCGAAACTCTTGGCGGGAACTTTAGGATCTTCTAGGTCACGGGGGGGCCTCTACTCGCTCAGCTCTCCCGCTCTGCCTCTTTCCCCGAAGTCCGAAAACTTTGCCAACTGCTGAACCAGATCTTCAATACTTTTCCACAGCTGAACATCCTCTATGAACCCTTGGCCGTCAGGCGGCTTCATCGGTTTCCTGCTGACCACGGCCATTATCGTTATCTTGTGTGAGATCGTACGAGACTTATCGCCCTGTTCGTGCAAGACCCTTTGGATGGGTTGAAGTGATGGGTTCTGACGCATGATTGGATGAGTTTTCTCTTCCCTCAGCGACCCGAAGACTACCCAGCACCAAATCTAGTCGCAGTGGCGCTATTCGAATGAAACTTTCAGGCAAAATCATGGTTTGCAATGGTGGGCAGGGGTTTTCCAGAGCGAGGTCCCGCAGTCCGTGTGTACGCGGCACGGCCTCTTCCTCGGGGCAGCCGGATCCCCGATCATCAAGCTAGCCATGGTGCTCTTCTACCCGATAACGAAGCCGTGGCTCGGCAGCAATTCTCGCACGGAGTCATGCGCGTTTGCGCCCGTGGTTGGTTGGTTGGTCGCTCGGTGGATCGGTCGTTTTGCTTTTTTTTGGTGTGTTGGTTAGTTTGCTGGCCGCCCGCTCGGTTGTTTGCGTTTGTTTGTTTGTTTTGTTAGTCTCCGCAGCTGGAGCTTCTGAATATCGAAGGCATCCAAGGGTTGTATGAGGCATCGCGAATTTCTTGCGCTGTCAATCGCGGTTGAAAAACGTGTGGCTGCCATGGCGAGGCACTCGCGGTTGGAGGGACAAGGCTCTACCTCTTCAAGTCTCTCCAACGGCGTTTTCGCTCGAGCCTGGTTTTCCGTTCACGATACAACAAGTCTTTCAAGAGAGGTGCATTGAAAATGGTGGGGATCACAGATGCCTCAGCTGACTTTTGGAAGAAAAGCTTCTGTGAGACGCCGGCCGCTTCGACTGATTCAAAGATCGACCGGCCTAAACAAAGAACAGCGGGACATGGAGACACAAATGCAAACAAACCTCATGAGGATCTCACAAGGTCTGCAAAGTGATGGTTTGCGAACAAGGCTACCCTGCAGCATTCTGCAGGGAAAGCAATCCTCTTGTTGAAGCCGTGGTTGGGCTACATGACAAATTCTTGACCGTGGCTCCCGAAGGTATGCGATTGTCCTGGATCACCTCTTCCCACAGCGAGTGCCTTGGTGACTTTCCTTCATCCCTCCGGGGCCTGTCGTCCTTGTTTGCTTGTTCTGCTTGTAGGTTCAGATGCGTGAATTCGCTTGCGGAAGTGTCGACTCTGACTTCGGATTTCGATTGGGGCCGGTGGCCGAGTCGAAGCGTTCTGGATGCTACATGGACGGGTGCTCAAACAAACACCAATCGAAGGCTAGTTCGATAAGCATCATCTGCACCGCTTGAACGCCAACGTCAACTCCAAGCTCCAAACCGCCGCGTGGAGCTGAGGAGAACATGCTGGACCGAAGTCAGCTTCAGGCACTGGTGGAGCACCCTGGTGACAGGTTTTACTCTACCATATTATGTTATGATATAATGTCTCCCCCCCCTCCCCCCCCACATGACAACTGCATGCTCCTTCTTCTGTCAGGTACCAAAAATCGGCTGCCCCAGGCATGCTCGTCGAGGGGCAAGCTGAGATGCTCATAGGCCAGGCAGCCCCAAACTCGAAGAGGGCTGCTTTACTTCGTGATTGATGTTGTTTCTGAGAGTACATGGATGTAGTAGCAACGATGGTACAAACACGAATGGTGGGGTGATCCAAATCCTCAAGTCTAAGCTCGATCTCTGCCCAACGTCCCAAAGCCCTCGCGTCGCTCGCGATTCGCTGAGCGATGGGCATCCGACCGCAGGTGCCCTGGGCATGACCAAGAAGACTGTCTCAGAGGCTGGCGGAGTCTAAGACTACTCGGAAACAGCATCCTCCCACAATAGCCGATTGGACTCCAGCTTGTCCGTCCGACCAACTATTCCCGCCCCCGTCTTCTTGCAACCCACATCTGCGCTTTGGACAGGTGATGGTTCCGTTGCAGAGTGCCTGCTGCTTGATGCTTGAGGTGCATGGCAAGTGGGCGCTGGGCTAGGCAGGCGTGCAAAGCGGTCTATTAAGAATATGCTACTGGCGTCATTTGTTACTCTCACCGACGAAGCCTGACGTTGTTGCAGCCAGAGAGGCCAAAAAACTCGCGAGACACCAAAGAACCGTCAAAAAAGCATGGATCCACCGATCACCAATACGAGCATGTAGAGGCACGAAGCCGGATGCTAAAGCCGGCTGTCTGCGGTGACCGAGCTTTCTCGGTCGTAGAATGTGTCTTAAGCTTTTGAACCCAAAGGTCGAACCAGCCCAGAAAGAAGCCCGGAAGCTGTTGGAAAGCTAACGGGTTTTGTGTGTTTGTGTTTGTGTCGTACTTTGAAGTACAGCATCCTACTGATTCTGAAGGTGTTGACATGACCTGTTGCGCTCCAGCTTCCAATCCTCGTTTTCGTACACTCCGAAGCCCCTCGTTAATCTGAATGTAAGACCCGTGCCGGCTGCGATTCCTGTGGGTCCACTGCAAAGCCTTGGTGCCGGTTTGCTCGTGCAATTCTTGCGCCTCGACTTTTTGACTCCTGTGAGAGCATCGTTCTTGCCAGGATGTTCTCGACTTTGCATTCATTGCACGGGTGATTCAGAGACCTGGTCCAACTTAACTTTGTGTCCTTTCCGCCAGCTGATGTTGGAGGAAAGCTTGATCGTGGGTTTGAGGTGGGGCTTACGTAGTTCTACGCTTTCAGATGCCTGGCTGTTCATTGGTTGCCCGCTTAAATTGCAGGCATCCGTGCATTCCTTGCTCTCAACACGGCCGTCACCAGGCCTCAGGCCTTCTGGGAACCACCAAGCTGACGCTACGCTGAGGCGGGGCTACAGCCGCTTCCCCGTGGTGGACCCTGCCTCTGGGCAGGCGCGTTCACCCAAAGCATTGAAGGGGTCCCGAGCCAGATGGGCTACCAGTAGCATGGGATTCGCGGTGGGACCTCTGACTCTGTCAGAAACAGTGAGAACGAGTAAGTGAGAAGAAGCAGAGAGAAACACAAGATAAAGATAAGTCATCACGGGAGTGTGTTGATTAAATTAAAAAGCTTCCTCCCGCTGAAAGCAAGACGCTGAACTGCCTAACTTGACTTCTGCTCTCGAGTTCTCTTCCTCTTCTGGAACTGACCACGAGGTTACGGGAAAGTAGATCTCAAGGCATGACATGTCATGACGTGTCCAACTGTACGCGTGTAGTTCTGATTTAAAGAGAATGCAGCAACCCGAAGATTGTATGCCAGCATACGATCACATGCTAAAGTGCATCATGTACAATACCTCAACGCAGTATGGTATTGTAGGCAGCTATGTGCGAACATAGAACTACTTGTCTTAATTTACAGGCTTGGATACAGATAATCTGTAGCTTATGACATCTTAACGGATGTAGAGTTTGTGTCTGCCATAGGCAGGAGTTTGGAGTTCCTGGTGTAGCACTAAACGATCAGAGGGGGGGGTCAAGGAGTTGTAGCACTGCGGGCTGAGAGTATTGGGTTCGGGGCTTGAGGGTTTCAGCGTGCAGGCTTCCCCGACCCTTCCTCAAAGGTGGTTGGCCTTCTTCACTGTAAAGATCTGCTGAGCCTGCGCGTGGTTGAGCCGCTTCACGACGACCTTGTGCACAATGTTCGGGACCGATCGGCTTGCGCCTCAATCTGGCTGTCCCATGTGGGAGATTCTGGTCCAGATGATGTAAACTTTCTAAACAGGGAGAAGCCTATCAGATTGAAAAGGTGTGGGATGGACATTGGCAAGCTGTCCGTGCCAGAAACCCTATAGAGGCCCTAGATGCAGAAAGAAGTCACGAAAGCTGAACCCGGAGATCCGACATGGGCACTGCCCTCTTGGCCGCTTGGTCTTGGCACTGAGACCTGCACCGTCGGCGAGCTGCTCGAGGCGCTGCGTGCGGCCGGCCGAGAAAGGCCGACTTCTGGGAAGTTCGGGGAGCATGGCGAAACTTCGGGCAAGTCGCTCCGTTTTCAAGGTTTCGGCTCGGTTTTTGGGACTTGCGTAAGCCCTCTGCAAAGCACAGGTCGCTCTTGCCTGGGTTGTTGCTGAGACTGAGGGACTTGGAAAGACAGCTGCAAGTTGCGAGGCACATGTTCGTTTGCGGCAAGAACACCACGCTGATGTCCTTGCTGTCAGAGCTGGGATCCCAGAGTGCCCTCCAACATTTTCGGCCAAGTGCAGACTCCGCTGTTCTATGCGGGGCAGACACCATATTTAAACTACAGAATGTTCGACACGTGCGTAATTTTTGCGTATGTTCTAACCGTCTGGAAACACTCTGGAGGTCCTACATTAAAAAACGGAGGCATGGAATTTCATGGATTACTTTGTGCACAAGGCGTGCGCGGCGGGGCGCCGCATGCCACCACCACCGCCGCCACCGGCACCGGCATCATCATCATCATCATCAGCATCAGCATCAGCATCAGCATCAGCATCAGCATCAGCATCAGCATCATCAGAATCAGCACCAGCATC